TAGTAGTAGTAGTAGTAGTAGTAGTAGTAGTAGTAGTAGTAGTAGTAGTAGTAGTAGTAGTGGTAGTAATAGTAGTAGCACATTAGCATACCTGCGGGGAAATTTAACGGCTAGCTTGCAACGCGCCCTGCGCCGCCTTCTACAAGCCACGTTTGTCTCCTGCCCTTCGGCTCCTTTGCCAAAGCCAAATTGACAACAAGTTCAACAATTAATAGTTAATGGTAAATGAATGATAAAAAACACGCAACAAATTTGGAAAGCGCACAAGTGGCTTGTGAAATTAGAGCAAAACAAGTGATTAGTCACAGTCGATTGATCCTCAGAATCTCCAAGTGTAAGGTCAGGCCGTTCTTAATTGTTCTTTTGCCTCCCAAATGCACGTTGACCTTTTAAAATAGGGGGCTCTGGACATTGCCACCCATGGCTTTTCTGACTGGGTTGTTGCACTTGCGATCCGAAGATTATATGACAAAAATGACATTCAAAACAGTCAAGGGTCTGTTCCACTCTCGCGCCAGCCCCAGGACGCAAACCGTTCTCAGGATCGTACCCCTCCATGTCCGAAACTCGGACCAGGGGCAGGGGTCCCACAAGCCCAGTCTGATGAACCTCGCAGTCGCTCCACTTGCATGCTTTCGATGCCACCGGACTCACTGCGACCTGTGTCAGAGGCCTTTTGTCACTCCCTTGACGGGCAGCCTCCTTCTGAAAGAGTAGAGTGACTCTTTGCGTGATGTCAAGCTCGCTCTTCATGAGCGCGTCCTCCAATCTGCGGGAATGCTTGACAAGCGCTTGCATCGTGGTGCCTGCATGAAAAACTGGGTTCTGCACCAAGCCAACATTCTGCGGACCAAGCGCGCACACGTTCTGCATCAAACTCACGCTGTCCAGCATGTACTGGTTGCTGGCTGGCCACAGGGTTGCGTCAATGGAGCAAATCACATGCCTGCACAAGTGCGCGTAACCCAGGCGTTGTTACTCATCCCTGCATTAGTGATTAGCATGTTGCAATGAAGCCCTGATAATTACATCAAAAAAGTTTCCACGCGTTAAAGACGAAGCGCGTTGTCCCCGTAGTGTTGCCACGCTCTGCGATGTACTTGGAAAACTCACTCAGGGTATTGCTCATGCTGGAACCTTCGCCATCATCCTTGACAGAAATGAAGACCACCCGGCAATTCTTCCGCATCCACTCTGCGACAAACTCAAACCCCTTCCTCAGATTCTCCACTGGTTAAAAACAAGCAGATCGCCAAGAATGGGTGATGATTGGCCAGTAACAACTGGCAACGCAAACTACTAGCAGAACCAACAAAAAGAATGTCTGGGCTTCAGCGCGTGGAACAACACAAAACCTACTGTGTGCACCAACATGTTTCGCTTGCCGATCCTTCAGGTATTTCATATCCAAAGCCGTCTCAACGGTTTGCGCCTGCTTGCTTGGAAGTGTATCACGGAGCCGTTTGATGTCATCTTCCAACTGGCCCTTGATTTGCTCCAACGTGGCTTGCCGGACCTTCAGCTCACGTTCACGGGCGCGCTCTTCTTGCACACTGGCCTGCTGCGACTCGTGGCTCGAAATCAAGTTCCTGGGGCATCCCACAACAAAAAGGCTTGAAAGTGGCTGAACAACTCAAAGTAATTTGCCGATCTTCGTTCAAACACTTCTGTCCTGAAGGCGCCAATAGCTCGCACATCACCTGGAGGAACCGTGGTCTCGCCCTGGAGCTGAAGTTCAGCATCCAGTCCACCAAGTAGAAACATCCCAGTCAACTTCTCCCGAGCAGCTGGATACTGCCCACTCGGAAGATATGTTTCAAGAGTCTGCAGGAAATGCAAGAACAATCCCGTCACCTGATGCAAGGAAACCGCTTCTTTGTACGTGCACTGACGCTTCATGCCATCTGTGAGCGCATCCCAGTCATGGCAATACCTCTGGATGAACAACTTCACCTTGGGAGCTCATTGCCAATGTCCGAGTCCGAAATACGATCCACACACACCAACACAACACACACACACACACAGAGAGAAGCACCAACAAAAAATACAGTCACGTTCAACCTCTCAGTCACCAGCGCCCCGTCCTGCCCGTTGGTGAGCTGTGAGTGCCAACTCTCTTGGTTTCCCGAGGCACTAGTCCACCCTGTGTTGAAACATCCTCGACCCACGACTTCGTGGGAGATGAATGAGCGCATGCCGCGCGTTGAAACGCAGTCCCTGAGCATGGACACAATGGCTGGCTCCACGTTTGCCTGCAAACAACTGACAGCTGCGCCTTCCCATTTACCTATCTGGAAGGCCTTGCAAACAGCTGTGCTGTTGGACCAGTCCTCGGAACTCGCGAAAAAGGAACTACCCCGCTTTGTTAAAGATGATGACAAATTGGATGGACAATGGCTTCTGGCAGGCCCCTCCAGCAGCCGTCATTTCAACACGGTTCCACACACAATTTTCAAAACCATGGCCCCTACAACTGTGCGGGGCACTTGACAATAGGAACCAGCTGGAACACTGAGAAGGGCAATGACCAACTTTGCTGTCAGTTTTGCTTCCGATTCAAAAAAAGTACACTGACACTCACCCAGCAAGCTAGCAAACCCCAAAAACAATGGATTGCTGCCAATCAGCTTCAAACTGGGCACTTGCTCCTCCGTAGCCAGCCCTGGACAGGCATTCAATTTGCCTCAAGAAATTGAAGGCGTGAGGTGCCTTCCTTGTCTGAGTGCTGGCAAGGGTGATGCCACGGTTGGCGAAGATCTGCTCTCTGATGGAACTGAAGTTTCCCACTGTGCAATGAATTGTCTTCGAAGAAGCCTTGCATGAATGGAACTAGAAACTGATTCTGATGCCCCTTATTGTCTTGAATTCTGTCAGCTTTCTGTTGGAGAAAGCCAACTCCTCGTTTTGCCCTGACGTGAGTCTACCAAAATCACTGGAAGTGGTTTAGCCATTGAGTCCGCGAATCTCGTTTTATCAAATGTTCAACTGACATCTAAAAATTCATTATCACATGCCAGTAACAGCAAATTGTTTTGGAATGTCTTCTGCTTTGATCTCCAAGGCTTTCAGGCCAGCAAGAACTGCCAAAAAAGTAGTGGACCTCCTCCAGCCTTTGACAAATCCAGCTGCAAATGGTTCCATCTCGTCACCTCACCAACGATGTTGAACCCAAACATCACACCTACAAACAGGAACCCCCTGGCACGCGTCACCTGAGAACACGGCTCCCACAATGAAGCTTCCTCAAGGGTGCGTAAGGCCGCTCCAGCATGTGGGAAGTCTGCGGGTCGCATATCGTGATCTTCTCCGTCCCACCAAGATCTGGGTCAGTCCGGAACCTGGGCCAAGCGTTCAGCAGCTTCAAATGGGTTGACTACAATTACAATGTAGTCTGAAAACCAATCATGGAAAATTTGAAAGAGTTGCGGAACAAGCCAAAGAACCCCTCTTGCAAGAACAGCTGCGCAAGCAAAATCATCTGCTCTGGCTCACACATCGAGCTGTGCCCAAAGTCTCGGCGAAATCCGAGCATATATGGTCGAAGAAAGCACCCTCCTGTTTTGAAGGCTGCTGCATACACCTTCCTGAGGCACATGTTTTGCGAAAGGAAAAATCCACACGAAGGCTCCTTTCAACACCTGAGCGGCGAACCCGGGTTCTGGCGGAAAGGTCGCGTCAATGAACTGCGCAAAGCTCTCCAGCTTGGCCTTGCCGCAAGCACAGATAACGTGCTGCTCGGGACTGCAGTTTAAACAAGAAACATGTTTTGTGGCTTGATGCCACTAACCTCCCACAAACGTTCCTGCCTATTTTAGAAATAATTGGCTATCGACATTGAAGACATTTCATTGCTCCCGACCAAATCAAGCTTGCAAAAGCCATACTTAAAATCTGCTAGTTCCTGTTGAGCGATGGTGAAACTCAATGTCAAAAGTAAACTCCAACCAATCACCCTCCATCAAATGGACCCTTTGAGCCTCTGTGTCGAAGGTTTTGTCAACATAGGCCTCAAAACTGCCCAAAGGAATGACTTCCTTCTGCAACCTGCAGCAAATCATTCAATGTTAAAGAACAAAACCAACACTTCTCCACCCCGTCCACAAACAGCATCGCACGAAGTTGGCACTACCAAAAAAGGAAAACAAATCAAGCGAGCAACCAATCACAGATACTTGCGGTCACTGGGCATGTCACGGCTTGAGGAGTTGGCTTGGTCACCTTCCCCCCCTTCTTGTTAGGATCTCCGCCGCCCGATTTCCGCTTGGCCGGCATGGTCACAAACCGTCAAAAACCCGGGTCTGTCTCTGAGCCCACCGTTGCCACGCAGAACTCTTCGAGTGGACACAACAATCAGCAACACCGTTCTGCCTTACGCCACGCTGGAAAGCAGGTTACATAAGAATCAGTTTCATGGCTTCCCCCAAGAGATTCCTCCTAGACACAGGGCGCCAAAACACTCCATTCTCCTGCCAATTTTCTGCTCAGATTTGACCACAATGGAAATTTAAAGGCTTGTGAGGGACGCTTTATATGGTCAAGGCTGAGCGGAAAATTGCAACGTTCACATAAACATGGAAAATCACAAACCTAAAACACGCGAAGCTCCAACGCTTTGACTTTCATACACTTTCATAATGGCACTGAGAGAAATCTTTAGAATCACACACCCGAATCAGTAGAATGTATTCAAAAGCCTTCACCCACAACCCGATAAAGTTCGACACTAAGGACCTCATGAAGACCATACCTCTGATGTGGATCAGCACCAAAAATTCGACACTAAGCCGGAAGCACAAACACCAAGATCACTAGTGTCGAATTCCACCTGGGATTCGACACTAAGGCTTGAGCACACACGTGGAAATCTATGTTTACAACCCTGTATAGTTTATAAAGGGAAGTAAATGCTGCCCGTTTTCATCCCGTGACGTTTAGGGTTTAGGGTTGCGCAAAACTTTCTTGAGGCTATGACCTGTTACAATGATTTGGGTGTTTAGTGGCGCCTGTGTATAGTAAGAGCTGCGTAGACCTGACTGTTCACCCTGGCACCCTGAGTGTTAGTGTCGAATTCCACCTCACATCCGACACTAAGGAGTGGGGCGGGCATGAATTTCTATGTATTGAAACTTGTAGTGTATCAAAGGAACTAAATGCTGCTCTCTTTTTTCCGGTGACGTTTAGGGTTTAGGGTTTCCCATCGTGAACCATCAATGACCTTTGCGTTGAATACCAAAGTCAAATCAGCGGGGATGTGGTTGAATTGATCTTCCTGGAATAATAGTTTCCTTATCTCCAGAATATAAAGACAAAATCCACCACCACGTTGCCTGCGCAAAGAGCCCGGCCAAAGTGTTGGATGCAGGGTGGGATTCAACACCCCCAATGATTGCAAATGTCAAAAAATCTTTACAAAAGAAAACAAAGACATCCCCAACAACACAAACAGCTCCACAGGTGATGAAAACCACCTCAGACTCAACACTGATTTTGGCCTCCGCCACATTAGCATTTAGTGGTGGATCCGGGCTGTGGGCACAGGGCTGAGGTGTCGAGTTCAACCACCAACCACACCTTTAAACACATAACTCTCACGCTAAATGTTGCCCAGAAGATCAAGCCCTGGCCCTGCTTTTGCCCTTAGCCTTAGCCTTACCCTTGGACTTTGGCTTCGCCACGGGTCCAATGATGGCTTTCACTTTCTTGACCGCTCGTTCGGCCAGCCCTAAGGCCTCGTTCCACTCAACCCCTGCCGACCACGCTTCTGCAGCCGCTTCTAAAGCCAGAGCTCTAGAAGCTGTTGCTATGTATTTGTCGCAATTTTTGCGGTCATCAGGACCACGGGTCAACCTCAGAGTTGAGCACACACTGCCAGGTGTGTTCGATTCCTCGTAGGTTTGAATTGGGGTTGCCAGATGAACGCCAGTTTGCGGGGTGGCCAAGTCCGGTGGAAACTTGGAAACTTGCAATCCTGAACACCCCGCTCAGTTGCAACCAGGAAGCCGCAATCTGTTTTCGCGGGGCTCAAAAGTCCGCACAAGGTCAAACCCATCGTGATGTGGAGTGAAAGCTGATCCTGACCGGAAGGAACACCTGGGCAAAATTGCTGCTGCTACTGGCACGATGACATCGGGACAAAACAAGAAAGCTGCGCAAAACACTGCAACTGCGAACAAAGTGCGCCGAGATATCCAAAAGAGGCGATGGCTCCAATTCATCGTTCACCCACTTCTCGTAATAGTCTCCAGCCTCGTTCAAACTATAAGACCTCAGGACTGGCACGAACTTCCTCAAGTGCTCCCGGTATTCGGTCGGCAGGTCGTTGTTGTCAGCAACCCCTGGAGGGCAACTGGGCTAGGAGCACTTCACTCACCATAGAACAAAAGCAACTCTGAATCAGCTAGCCGGTTCGCCTAAGGGGAGGCCATCAGGGATCTTCTGCTCACCCACCACTCCGGGGTAGAAAAGAAAACAGCTGTTGTAGTCTCTGTCCTGCATGTACTGCTTCGTCCTGACCAAGCCGTGAACAAACACAACACAAAACACAAACATGGACCCGAGCACGCAAGGGCTTACACAACTACATTGGCCTCAAATAGTAGCTATGAACTGAACACAAATGGTCGTGTTTCAGAGCTCAAGGTATGAATGCACCCCAGCGACCGTATGATGATATCATTGGGCCGATGATCTTCCTCCGCCAAATTCCAGTACGTGTCACTGGCTGAATCAGCTATAGAGCCTGACTGCCACCGGGGCACGCAACACTCATCTCACGAGAAAATATTTGCTGGTGGAAAAACCGCCCATGAACAAACGCTTTCGATTTGGGCTGCAAACCATAATTCCACAGGGGCTCTGTTTTTGGAGCGAAGGATCTATGCACGGTCCTTTTTTGAGGGGTGGGGGAGCGCCCTAATAGAAATACGATGAAATACGTAAGTCCCCTCACCCGCAGAATGGAACTCCAAAAAGTTGGAAAATTAGCACCTTCCGGCCGTTCCTGTCGCCCCATGAGCACACCCTCCAAAACATATGACCATTAGCCGACCAGTCGCCCAAATCGGCTCGTCTGGATATCTCAAAGTGGTGCGGCGCGCCTGGCCCCCCGATTCCAGAGATCATCACAGGGCACACGCCGCTAAGGAAGTCTTTCCTGCAGTCAAAAGCCCAAGAAAAAACTATTGTAAATCGTTCTGCGCCTAGCCTCCAAGAGAGGTCAATAAGAGGCGCTAATGTTCCACTGGGATTGCCTTGCGAAAAAACAATACCACAAGTTCGGATTTTCCTCTTCAAATGGAGTTGCAGTCTTTGTTGCAGGCCAATCCAAATGGAACATTGCAATCAAGAGAACACAAGAAAATAGTGCCAATTATTATATATGTTACATTAGAGTCATTAGAGTTGGCCCTATTGATTGTTGTCGTCTCTTGACCTCTCTTGGCTACCAGGTTACCGTTCAATCGTTGAACTAAAGTTATTGGCATTGGATAGACCTCAAAACTGCTGAACCGTTGCAAATGTCCACGGGCGGTGTTGGTCGAACAGCGTGACAGATCGCTCCAACTCGTGCGGCCGGTCGCAAGTGGTGGCAAATTTCTGGATGAGCTCGCAGAACCGCGATGGTGTCTCAAGGCAACGACCATTCCGAACGACAAATAGACTCAAGGACCCGAAGCACTGATCGATGTCTTCATGGGAGTGTCCTGTGCGTAAGTGCCGCATTGTCGATCCAGCGATGATTCCTTGGAGCGAAGGCAAATGATTTGTTGGTCACTTCCTCTGCCACTTATTGTTTGTTTGTTGCCCTCACGTGAAGGCTTATCTTCAATACGCTCTACTTAAAATTGGGTCTTTTCAGGTCGAAGGCACGCTGTTGGGTCAATATGGACAACAGCCTTAATGTCGTCGAGTTCTTGGTCTCTCTGGGAGTGTTGTCAGCGATCAGGTGAACGACCGTGTCGGCCAGTTTCACCCCCTGCCGCTCCAACTTCGTGAGCGTGTGGCAGAAAAGCTCTGCCATGCAAGAGCTGTCCTTTGGGTGCTGTGGCGTTGATATAGTAAAAGTCAAATGAAAGCCGTGAGCTATGACGCCAATGACCCCCAATTTCGGGCGATTCAGGGTGTTCAGGTCCTTCCCACGGCACAAGTTTGTTCGCGGGAAGCTGAACTTGAAGGCATCCATGCCGTCCTGGATCACAACTATGTGACCCAGGGTCCGTAGTCTTGATGAGCCACGTAAGCTCCAATAGGTCAAACGGTCCCTGTATTGCATCATGAGGTGAGAATGGTACAGGCGAGCCTGATGCTGTCTGGCGTAAAGGTATGGAGCCAGCTCCTTCAGAAGGACCCGATGGTGTAAGCAAACGCTGCATTGGGCGTGGGATGACACCGCCCGGAATTTTAAGTGATCATACTCAGTTCGCCATGTCTTCCAGAATGTGGAGAACGAAGCGGCCCGGTGGCCTTCAATGGCCTTGTACTGTTCGTAGTAGTCCTGCATGCATCCAGGAGGCAACCATTTGGTGGCCAGCCCTGAAATCTCTGGCCTTCGTTCCACGTGGACCTTGAGGCCCTTCTTGAATCTGTTGACTTTGACACTCTTCTGCATTCGGACAGTCATGTATGGATCGTATCCAATGTCTTCGGCTCGATAGGCCACTATCTCAAGTCCCGGGTCATCTCTGCAGTCTGGCAGCGTTTCGGCTACGCTGTCGTATATCGTTTGCAAAAACGATACGATCTGGCCACTAGCATGGTCCCCAGTGATGCGGCTGACTGGACGGGATAAGAATCTCAAGTCTGCAGGTGGGGCGTGATCTCCACGACGCGCCGCAACCCACAACCGCTTAAATCTCTCATTACCTGGGAATATATTTGTGAACAAAGCCCTCTGTCTAATGGTCTAATGGTCAACCCTTCAAAATGGTTGAATTACTGTTTAAAAGGCCAAGACCTCAGAACCTCTACAACAAGTAGAGTCGGTTGAAGAAAGCGCAGCGAATGAGCTTACCATGTCAAGGCACCCATAGCGTGCAAAGCTCTCCACCCTCTGCAGCAC